TCTGCGATCACTAGATAGTTTCTGGGATAATTGCGACTTTTGTTACAAAGGCGTTATCTCTGTCCATGAGCTAATTATTTTTGTGGGAAAATTAATGAATAGTCTAATTATATACGAAGTTCATTTCCTACTTCATGTACAGAACCCATAAAAAAAAAATGTGCAGCCAATCGAAACTGTGGTGTCCGATATGAAAAATAATGTCTCACATATGTTTGTACTAGGGATGTTGCGAATTTGGAATTCCAGACATCCGCGGATGCGAATGCGGATGTCAAGTATTTATTTTTAAGAAATAATTTAGGTAAGTAAATTGGGCGATTGAGGTAAATAAAAAATGGAAAGGTTAGTAATTGAATTTAAAAATTAAAACGTTATATTTAATAAAAAGTAATGTGGCTGCCTTTTTAAACCCGTGCCACTAAATTACTGATCGTTCGAGCCGACAAATATCTGCTTGTGAAACTTGACAATATTTTAAATTCTTTTCAATTGACGCTGCACCAGTTGCGCGGACTTTCAGTTATATTAATTTATTTTTTGCGGGTTAAGAATTCCTTTTTGAGAATTTCATAGGGGCTGAAAATTTCGTTTGTATCCTCCTGATTTTCATCTTCACTTGAAGAATCTAGCATCATGGCAAGATCGTTGTTTAACCACCGCTTTCAAGCCAAACCAGATGTCACATGTTTTTCTAAATCTGTTTCAAAATAACTCTTTATTCTCATTCCTTTGGCTATTTCAGAATTTGGAGAACCTGTAACACATCAGGATTTTTGGAGATTTCAGTTTTCGTAGTTAATTTTGCTATTTTCCAGGAATGAAAATTACGAACAAAATTCTGTTTTCAAAATTCGATTTTCTTTACACCTAGAAGTTGAACATTTCTACTGGAAATCCTTATAGAAGGAGCTTTCTCTTTGACTTTAAATAGGAAAAGAAAAGGGACAGTTTTGTGATACAAGTTTTTATCCAAGTAGTTTTTTTTGGATATTAGTCCACAAAATCATAATAAATAAGGAAAAAAATCAGGAATGTGAATATTCGCAACAACCCTGGTATGTACATGCATAAGTCTCCTAACGGAACACTATCTTGGCTCACTTTATGTAACAACACGAAACCGCAAGACCTCAATTTTACAAATATACAACTCTTTCGTGTCTTCCTACTACCCCTTCGCTAGTTATAACACATTTTCAAGCGATTTATAGCACCTATAACTGCATTTCCGTTACGGAAACCAATTCTTGTGCCTAGTTTTCAGTTGCTTTTTCAAAATGCATGCACACATACACATGTATGTATGTATGTGTGTATGGATATGTGTATACGTGGAATTCTGTTCTTGAGGGGTGAATTCCAAACACTACAGAAGGGTTAAGGGTTTCCGCGAATGCCGTTGACACAATTTACTAGTGACTTATAGCGGATGTTTGGCATTTGCGGACAACGCGGCGTAACAAAGTATTTCAAAAGCAGACTAAGGACCATTTTCTGAAGTAACCTTTAACTTGAAAGCTTACATTATATTTAAAGGGTACATGTATGTTTGGTATGGTTTACAACCAAAAAACATAAATACGTCAAAAATCGATAATAGAAATGCTTTACTTTAGGCATCGCTATATATTTTAAAGCAACCAGTAAATATAAAGTGAGCTTTAAATTAAAGGTACTTGAGAAACGGACAATATTGTTGTACATATTCAAAACGGGCTCATTTGAAAGGGCATCTTTCTGCTATAACAGGGGTATGTTTACTTATTTAACGCTACTTTCTTAGTAACTTCTTGCATGGTTCAAAAACCGTGAAATAATTAAAAACTGCGATTTTCCAAACCTCTTGCTGACCTCAAAAACGCAGCCGATTTTTTATTTGCTGTTCGTTTTGAAAACATATCAAAACCGGGTTTTAAAAGCCGCATAGTCCAAGCAAAGGTTACAAACACTGTGGGTAATATGGAGCAAAGTTTAAAATCTCCATGAAAAAAATTTGTTTTTAGTGCACTTCGGAACACCTTGTCGAGTCCTAAAATTGTTTTTGTTTATTATAGAAAACAAAATGCGGAAATTGCGGTTTACACGTGGTCGTTGAATAGATATTCTGCCGAAATCCACAATAAAATCAAAGTTTTTTTTTACTTTGGTCCCAAAATTGCCACGCCCATTTCTAAAAGATTCTGCCAGCGTTATTCTGCCGAAATCGACAAATAAATGCTTAATTTTGTTAACCTTAGTCCTAACATGGCCACGCCTATTTCTGTGTGTTTAACGCTGTAAGAAAAACATTTCCCGAACCAAAATTTCTCCTGGATGGGTATTTTACCGGAATCTGCAATAAAATTTGCATTTTTGGAAAAGATATGTTTTTGACACATTGCTACACAATTTGAACTCTTCCATATTTATTATTGTAATACTTTCTAGTGCTGAAACTTGCTTTGTTAATAATTTTTTTTATTAAAAGCAAATACTTTTAAGCAAATTTGTCAAATAAAAAATCTTGGAAGTCCGATTATCCCCAAAGACTTGGCAGCACATTACTCATGCGCCCTGTAGTACGGACACCTGCATTCATGCAACCTACTACACATACATACATACATACACAGTGCAATAGAATGAAAACGAATGACCGTAAAATATATTCAACTGCAAGCACAGTACATCTCACACATTGCGGCAATCAATCAATCAGTCACACCTGTTGCTCAGCACCACACCACCTTGAACTCTGGCGCTGACCTGGAGGACAATTAATTTGCATACATTTATATGCATTTCAATTTGCATTTCCAATTTGTTAAACGACTATACTACAGTAATACTATTTTGATAATGGCTGCCGCTGTCAGTCCCTGCGGTGCTGGTCACTACAACTGCAACGGATGTGATTCCAATCAGAGTGTCCACAGTGTTGTCACGTACAATACTAGCTATAATAATATCCAATTAAAATGCAACACTGCATATCAGAAAAGACAACCAACCATGGCAATTGACCATATGGAATTTTTTTTTATATGTATTTTTTCCTTTTACTTTTCGCTTCTATTTAAGACAAATTTATGCAAACATTTATGGCATATTTTATTTGATTATTTGCTGCTGAAAACGTGTGGCAGGTATTCAGCTACACAGCGGTAAGTTGCAGCACTATTTATTTTATTACTGTCGTTCACTAGCTGCAGTTGGTAAGGAGCTCGCGCGTGTATTTGTGTGTGTGTGTGTGCTGCTCATATTTTTCCACGTGAAACCATAAAGTTTTATGAGCGCAAAATGCAAGTGTTTTGCGGATAAATTACCCGTTCTTAATGCAGATCGCGTATGCGCTTGCTTGTATTGGTTGCAAGGAGAAATTCGTGTATACTCACACATACTTGATACATATATAACAAATACGAGGGTCACTAAATAAAGCCTTAGATTTCGCAAAACTAATGTCATTTGATTAAATCTGACATTTGCATTGCAAAATTTGAAATTTTTTAAGTGAAACTTCTTTAGCGGTGGTTGGTTGGTTGAAAGTAATTGGCAAATTCAACGGAAATGATGCACAGGAAATGGTTCCAATGGAAACAAGTTCTTCTTAAATTAATTATTAAATAAAATTTTTTTATTAATTTAACAAAAATGTGCTAAGAATAAGATTCAGATAAATGCGATTATAAAAATAAAAACAAATACAAATATGCGTAAGGATCAAAGCAAAAATGAAGATTAAGGTAATTTTAAACACTTTAAGGCAAAGGTGAAAGGGAATATGAAAAAATAAATATAAATATGAAGAAAAAGATGAAGCTGAAAATCGATATTGTTATCGGTATGATAATCGATCTTTTTATCGATACAATTATCGACAAATTAATCGATTTTGCAATCGTTATATTTTCCGATATGTTTATCGATATTGTTATGGGTTTAATTGAGCTTGTTTAAGCATGAAAAGTTCAGTTTGTGTAGAGCTGCCACATCCCTTTAAATAACGAAATTATTTTTGTCCTATTATAATCCTTGGGGGGTCTAGAGTAGGTGTCCAACATTTCAAAAAATACGGTACAGCTGATCTCGAGTTTTGCGAACAGAAAAACCCGCATTCCAACTATACACTATAGAGCAAAAGTGAGCACATGGTGGTTTTTGTTAAATATTGTTAAGTTTAAATTTGTTTGTTATTTTTTTATAAACAATTGGTTTAACCAAAACCATATAAATCGAACTTTCAGTTTTTATACAGAGTTCAGAAAAATCAACAAATTTTCTTATGAAATTTTCAACTGTTTAATGCGAATTTTTAGAAAGTACGTTGCGTAGTTTTTTACCCATACACTTTTAGTCTGTTGAGAGGCAATTCTCAACCGGATGAATTTTTTTTTGTTTTTTATGGCTTTTTCCGGGTATTTTATACAACAAGTGCAATTTATAAAATATGGCGTTGATTTTTTAATTTTTTTTGCAAACGGCCTTGCGCATTTTCGTCCATATGAAATTCACTTTTACTTGGGAAAAATCTGTAAAAAAAGCCGTCAGAAAAAAAATTATTAAAATTCAACTCGATTGTTTCCCGTTTGAAACTTACACTTCATTAGATTAAATTCTATGGGCTATAGATTACTGCAAATACACAAATTTTCTAAGCTCTGTATAAAAATTTAAGGTTTGACCATATACTAAGGTTTTGTATAAAACATGACCTATATTTTTAATAGAAAATACCAAAAAGATGCTTTACAACCCTTGGAAATATTTAACAAAAACCACCAAGTACTCACTTTTGCTCTAGAGTGTATATTAGCATAGGTAACAAATTAAATACGTTTTCTAACTCAACTTTACCCTGTAAAAAATATATGAATAATTTTTTAAATAATTCCAGACATCTGAGACAAATTACAAGTAATTTTCAAAAAAGTGCAAGCAAGTAAATAAAAAAAAGTAGGGATTAAAAAAAACGGCGTGGACAGATCGACCAGAAATTTCATTTAAAAAACTTGAAATCACTTCATATTTAGGCGCTTGTCCACGGCAACCTTTTTGCACGACTGTGCGTGTGAAAAAACATTTTAGTGTACTTACATATTCCTAAAAAGATTTTAGTCGTTATTTTACGTCGAAAATTTTTCCCACTTTAAGACTTTACGACGTACTCTGAATTCCCTAATAGAGTAAAAACGCAAGAAATCTGTCTCGTTAGACCGAAATAAGGTCAAAACGTGTAGTACATATTTTATCTTTAACCATTTTGCTCCCAAGCGAGTAATAATGGATTAAGAAATCGAAATATCTAGTTTATTGCTCTTAAAATTGGTCCAAGTGAGGTTTTTTTATGTGGTCCCTTTTATCGCTCCGACCACATGTCAAAGGGAGTACTCTTTTATTCTACACTCTGTGAGACCTCCTATCAAGTTCTGCTGATAATGTTTACTGAAACGCCTCTGAGTATTCTAATACTTGTAAGAAGAGTGAAGATATATTCTCTCTATCGGAAAAGCTATTCGTTACGTATGAAATCATGGATATCATACTGATTTTCGGAATAGCTTGCTGAAGGCAAGAAGAAACGCTAACACGGTAACTAGGTATGTATGTCGCGTTATATTGAACCCAAATGAAATCGCCTAACGGAAAATTGAAAGAATCATGGAGATGAAAAAACCCGCAAGCATGTGTCATAGGCAGCTAAATGCAAGTGGCTGCAGCATGCCGTTAGGTGGTTCGCATAAACATACATACATATGTACGTACATCCTTGCATGCATACTCGCAGGCATGTACAAACTGCACTTGCATTTAAGTAACACGTTTCGCTTACTTGCACGAAGCTTTGACTGGCATTAAAGGAAATCGTGACTAATTTCATGTGGCAGAAAGTAGCACGTAACAACGCTGTATAGCAACTTAATATGTTGCACTTCTCTCTGAAGCGCGGAGAGAGCTCACTCACTAGCTTATGCTTTGGCGCATTTTGTGTGCACTTTCACTGCAGTTAGTTAAAGGGATATCTTGGAAAGCACATAGCTACGCTTACATAATTGGGTAATACAATTAAAGTTTACAACACACACAAATATATAAAAATAATTTAGCGTACTTCTGAGTGTACAAATTTTATTTTAAAATTTTGTTCCACTTTCGGTTTGCTGTTAAAATAACATTACTCAAAATGAACGCAGAGGGCCAGCAATGCTTTGGTGTGATGGTTGTTATTTACTTACTTTCATACCTATTAAAGTATCTAATGCATACATATGTACATTAGACTGCATCACCAAAAAAAGTTGCGGTTTTTCCGCCGGGATTACAAAATTTATTATATTTTAAGAAGTCCACCAAAATATTTCGGAAAAATATTAAGATTTAAGCGAGCTGGACCGATTTGAAAATGCCTCCAAAAATGAAGTTTTTTATGAATAAAAATAGTTTCTTAAAGAACTTTTTGAAAAAATTCCCCTCAGATGAGAAATTAGATTAAGCTTAAAAAATCTGAATAGAAATATTTGAAAATCTTTTCAACGGAATCGCAAGAATGAGATTTTTGATGCTGTTTTTTTACTTTTTTCAAAGATTGGTTTACGAAAAACTTCAATAACTGGGCCAAACACTTTCTGATTTAGACTTATGGGATCTCAGTAGAAAGGTATTTTCACACTGTTTTTATTTCTGGCCAAAAAAATGTCATTCGTGTCCCATCTTGTTTTTCGAATACCAACACATCTTAATTCAACTTTGAATGACGTTCGTTCATCCTACCTTTCTCTTCCATCCTTTGAATGAGTTTATTAGCAAAGAAATAAAAAGGGTGAGAAAATACCTTTCTAATGACACCTCTTAAGTCTAAATCGGAAGAGTTTGGGTTCAGCTATTCAAGTTTTTTCTATACCAATCTTTGAAAAAAGTAAAAAATAGCATCAAAAATCTCATCATTACGATTCTGTTAAAAATCTTTTTTTCGTTTTTTTAAATATTTTTATGCAAATATTTTAAGCTTAAACCGTTTTGTCATTTGAGGGGATTTTTTCAAAAAAAATCTTTAAAAAACTATTTTTATTCATAATTATTCATTTTTGGAGGTATTTTCAAATCGGTCCAGCTCACTTAAATCTTAATATTTTTCCGAAATATTTTGGTGGACGTCTTAAAAAATAATAGATAACCTTTAATTTAATCAAGACAAAGTTATCATTTTCCAAGGATAAGCAAAGAAAAGGAAAATTCGGCGTCGTAACTTCATGTAAGATTATGAAGGGGCACTTCCGAAACCTGCTAAATTAAAACCAGTAGATAAGATGAACCCTAGTCCAGAGTCGGAGCCTCCGTGGTGGAGGCATTGTGCTAAATTGCTGGAGACGACGACCTGTCAGCTGAGCTTGTGAAAAATTTTTACGGATCCACACATGCTTGACGACTGAAATCTAAGTTTTCTCTGCCCAATCGACAAAGATAACGACCCTCCACCCAACTACTACGAGATCAGCCTTCTTAACATGGCATACAAGCATGGCATATCGAGCTTATTGTGTGAATTAGCGGATATTTCTTGAAGAGAGCTGCTATCTTTTCAAACAACTTAATAACTGGTTGCTTCATCGATTGTCTCGCATAAATAAATTTTGTTTTTAATCCCCACAGTTTTTTTTTTCTCATTTCTACTCAAACTCCATTCCATTTTATCGCAAAATGTCATTTTCTGATCAAAGCAATTCACACTTACCTGTTTCCATTCAATTTTATCGACGCCATCCTCGCCCGCCATCTCGATGGGTGGCCGCAAAATAGAGACATACTGTGCGCCGGTAAACATCGCAGCGCATCCACACGTAGACCAAATACAGTAGACGAGTAAATGCGAGAGGCATGCGTAAGGCCATGCCGGAAAAAATGTGAAACGGATGTGGTACGAAATGCAGGCGGCAACGTGCAATGTATGTGGAAGAAAGAAATAAACAAAGTTAATCTTTGACTAATCAAGTGACGAGTATGAAGAAAACAAGCGCCAGTTAATGAATATGAAATAGGTACGTAGATACACATATATGTAGTAAGTGTTTGCGTAGAGAGAGGGTTACAGTAATCTCAATTCCCTAAAAGTTGTTACACGTCATTCAATCGTTGCATTGTGTTTAGAAGCGCAAATTAATTTTGATTAATTTTTGAACATAATGCTAGATTTCCACTAGGCATTAAATGGCAAAAATTTGTAATGACAAAGTTGGGCATTAAAAAATAATCGTGTCGTTACGTTAAAAAAATTTTTTATTAAGTTCATTTCCACATGGCATTTTTTAAATGGCACCAATTTTTAGTAATTTCAACGCCTAGTCGAAATTCGGCATAACAGCCATTGAGTTTGAAATTTCATTTACATATACTATGTTGTGTCGCTTTGGCATCTTTTCCTCCAAAATAGCTATAGCCAACAAACATCTATGAAAAGGATCTTCGTCGAACCGCTATATATAAAAATCCTTTAAAACTACTTTTTCTTCTTTGGGTGGAGCCTTACAAAATCGTGACAATGCAATTTAAATGTGGTTTAGATTACTTTCCCGTACCACAGCTTATCAATATAAATACGTACATACATACATACATACATGTGATAGTGCACACCACTTTTCTTTATAAATTGTCCTCCACTTACGTAATTGCAACTCTATTGACCTGACTTTTTAAGCACTTATCCACTGGCATGTTCGTGCCGCATTACTTTGTTAGCATTTAAGTGGAGTTCAGTTTATTTGCTTCTTTTATTTCCTTATTAAATGTTTGCATGCAAAAGCTAGTTAACTTTTCTCAGTTTTTATTCAATTTCAATGTAAATGGCGGAAATGCGGCAGTCCACGCAATGTAGTAAACTGCAGTGGAAAAGACTGCTGCACAAGGGTTTTACGTTGCAACGGTAGATAAGACATAGCTACTTTTAAAATAATAATAAATGCAAAATATTAAAAAGTATTCGTGGAATTTTAGAAACTTTTTTAATGGTTCCAGTTGGCTATTGGTAACTTTTGGTTACACTTTAAAATTTAAAAGAAAATGCAGATAAATTTAGATAACTAAGTGTTTTCGTTCTCATCCCTGCCTCATAAATAAATATGGGTTAGTTACACCGAAATGGATCTTAGGGCCAAGTTCACAGTACGTAGTTAACTCAGAATCAGCAGCTAACTACAGATTTTTGTACTGAAACTCTGTAGTTAACTGCCGCTTCTGAGTTAACTACGCACTGTGAATTTGGCCCTTACTGACTCAACTGTTGCGAGTCAGACGCGCCGTTTTTGTTGGCTATAAAGAACGAGTAATCGGCCAGCCGGCATGACACGAAATTGGGCATGAATCAGTGATCTTTGAAGAGAAATTTAGTGAAAGGCTTGAAGATGTTCTCTTACAAAGTGCAGACAAAGCAACAGCTGTCAGCCACAGGCCGCCAAGTCTGCGTAAACCGCACTCCACCATCCAGCGTCTCGACAACGACAAAACAACGTTTTCATCGAAAATCATAAATAAGCAACGAGGCTCATTTACATCTCTGTGAAAATGTGAATAAGCAGAATTATTGTATATGGGGCATCGAAAATCTGCGTGAAACCCACGACGTGCCATAACTCCCGCTCAACGTTACTGCATAGTGCGCTGTTCATGCTGGAGGCGTGATCGGCCCTTATTTTTTCGAAAAGCATCAGCGCACACTTCGTTTTTTGAGGAGTTTCTTGAAGTTACGAGTCTATATAAAAAAAACCTCAGACTGTTGAAGCTCTCAATGAGAATATCCGTGAGGAATGCGGAGAACCCATCGCCAGAAGATAGCTACCGCTATACCAGCATTCTATGTTTTTATATAGCTGGCATTTCTTAATATTTGTGTAACTTATTTTCTTTTCATTCCCAAGCGTGACATACACCTTAAATTTTCGAACCGACTACCGCTGTTGATTAATGATTGAAAAAATTCTTGTTTTTAAATTTTAATTTCTGAACTTTTTAACCCACAGAATTCGCATGCATTGCAATCACAAAACCTGCGTTTATTGCATGTGGATTTTCTGTATGTATGTACATACCGTGCAGGGAAACCGCGGATTAGTGAATCAAATTTCCAGTCCAACCAGTCCGATAATAACAAAAATGTGTGTTAACATCTTTTAACAGATTCCAACCAATAACAGCAAGCACCTCTGCAAACTTAGCTACAGCCAAAGGTATGTTTCTTACAAAAATTAAAACAAATTAAATTTCAAATTGAAAACACATTTCTTTGAAAATAATTTAAAATCGCACACACGGAAGAACCAAAAATATTGAAAAATCATGATAATTTTTTCATTTGTCTGTCGATTTTAGAACTGGTTCGGAACTATCGAAAAAGGGAGGCAATTGACACTTTCTAGGACATCGTCATGTTAAATTCGCCAGTTGTTTGCATGCAAAAGAGATTTCTCGCGAACCAGTACTGGGTCTAAATGTACTAGCAGCGCAACAGTTCAGAACTAGCGATTTTCCCCACAGGGTATGTGTATGTTTGCACGCCAGCAGAATTAACAAGACCCTTGCTTTTCATTAAAATGTCACTCATACGCAGTGTAGGTCATTGTACTCATTCACCGCTAATGCAGGCGATATGTGTTCTACTTGTACAAGTCAGTAAATTTTTTTTGTATGTTTGTAAGTACCTAAGGGCTTCGACTCATGCATTAATTAGCTGACATTTCAATCCACTCCACATCCCACTTGCCTATGTTACTACGTAGGTATGTGTGTATGTATGTATATAAATTACAACACTTTAAAATTAACAATGCGCCATTTGCAATTTTCTTTCAACGCATTGTCAACCTTATCTTTGTGTTAATTGAAGGCAAGTAATTCACATGACAATGCCATCGAGTTCATTAAGCGCTGGCCAGGTACCAATTAAAGGCAAAGGGACAAACATTAATCGGGCAGTAGCAATAATTAGAGCAGCAGGATGGTAATAATGGCAATGAGCTGTAAGTATGTAAGTAAGTCGGTACAGTAGAGTAAAAATGTAATGCGTATGTTTATATGTATGTTATGTAAGACGAGCTTTTAATGAGGTTAAACAAATTACTGTTAATATTGACAGCGAGACAAACGCTAGGGATTTCATTAACGTAAAATCAATAAGTTGGACTTTCTTTGCGTTTTTTATACTGTGTTCCCTAAAGTATGATGTCCTTTATCAGCATGTCTTTACAGGTAAACTTTATATATACACTTTTAATTTTCCAGCATACTATGTGCGTGCATATGGTTGATTTTTCTGTTACCACCTTTCTCCGGTTTTTCTTTTTAATATTAGCTCCTTGCCTCACCTTTCCTCTGTCGATACTTTTTATCATATCCAAATCAGTTGTATCGGAGATGCCGCCATGCACAATCAACACCCGATTGTTGACAATGGTTCCCAGCGGTAGCCAGCGGTAGACTTCTTCAATCATTATCATCAATTTCTCAGCATTGCGCTGTGAGGTGGAGAAAAAATAAAATGTTAAAGCGTTTTGTTTATTTTTTTTTTTTTGTGCTTAAATACAGTGGCTCAAAAAAGTGTGCACGTGTTATATAAAATTAAGAAAAAATCTAAAAAATTTTCATAAAAATTTCGAGCTTATATTCTAATAACTAACTTGCATTTAGTTTCAACCGGCTAAAAAATTCCGTTGATTTTTAGAATTTTTTTTTGTGACTGCTTTCACGTTTTCTTTTTATATCTTTTTATATATAAAAACGTTGTGAATATTAAAAAAATTAAAGCGTGTACACTTGTTTGTGTCACTGTATTTTCATTTCAACCTGATTGTTCACACTTACACGATACTTCTGCTGCACTTCACGTATGAAACCGTAACGCGCATTCATCACCGAATCCTCGTGATTACCGCGATTTAAATGCACAGCACCAGGAAAGGCAAGAAAGCAGGATAGCAGCAGTAAGAAGACTTCAAGTCCCTTCTTGCCGCGATCCACGAAATCACCATTGAAGACGTAGGGATTTTCGGTTGAAGGAAGACCATTCTGAAAATATTTAAATAGGAAAGGTTCAGATTAAACGTGGCATATATTTACATGTGTACATAAGACCGAATATTTATTCTAACTTACCTTATAGAAAATGACTAAAAGATCATCTAGTTTTCCATGTAAATCCCCAATGACGGTAACCTGCTTGGATATCGCCGTTGATGCTTGATTAAGATTTGGTAGTCTTTTTAATTTAAATGCAGCCTCTTTAAGTATACCACCCACATATTTGGCCAGTAAACGATCAGACTGTGAAAAAGTGACGCATAGAAAACACATATATATATAAGAAATATTTGTTATTTTTCGATTTCAGATACGAAGTTCTTCATTGCACGAAATTACTAATTTTTGTATTTATTTTGTGGGGCTTGTTTATGTATATCTAGAAATTACACATATGTATATATGTAGTCCGGTCAAAGTAGAATACGACTGCTTTAAAGTTGTATATGCATATATATATTCTTGTAGACAAATAAACAATGTACAACTTTCGTTCTTCTATTTTAACGAAAACACTTATCGTTTTCGAAGAAACTGCAAGAGCGCTAAATTTTCTGACTTTTCAACTCAGATTAGTTTTTTAGCAAATCTGTGATCGATGGTGACTTTTCATAACTATTTTTTTCAAAAAGGTTTACCTAACAGGCACGCCATTACCCGGGGCTACCGCTCGCTCCTACGGAATGTAACAATAAATACAAACTTAATCTGCTACTCCGATTACAGAGTACAGGAAGTAAACCCTTAGCTTCGCGGACAATGTGGAACTAATTTCAGCAGGAAAACAAATTCAAGTACTAAGTGAACTAATTCAGAACGCCTTAACTATTTGGAAGCCTGGCCGAAGGATAGCGGACTGAACGAACGCCAATCCAACAACGACCGTTTTGGTTGCCTTTACGAATAAAACCAAATTTTCCAATTCCTGCTTCCTGCTTCCTTCACCACAACATTTATGGTTTTACACAAACCTTTTTGAGAGAGTCAAACACTTGGACAAAATACTCAGGCAAAGCGAAGTGACATCCACGTTGGATCAGTCAAGAATGATTGGAATGTGTCTCAAAACTCTTAAGCATCTAGTCTACTCCGTTTCTACTTTAATATTTTATACTGGTTTAAATACACGGATTCCCTTGTGGAACGAATGGGAAGAAGGAGGGACATAGACGCTTACTCGAGCTCACCAATGGCTCTAGGCTAAATCACCGTGTGCAAAGTTAGGTATATTCGTGGTAACTCTCATTTAAATTAAGTTTGCTTTTACCTTATCACTGTAGCGTGTGTCAGACGGAGCATGCAGCTATGAACGAAGCAGCTCTTGATCTGCAGGCGGTAGATATTTTCTTAGATAAACAGCCTGCAATAAAAGCTTTGCCGTTTTGCATATGCGAATTGGCAAGGATAGCAACCCCCGTTTCGGCCATAAATACCTTGCGCGATGCGGGAGTACCTAGGCGACTGCTAGGATTTTATAAACTGCGGCTTATTTCCCGAAGTTGGATATTAAAAGTTATGTTATGTATGACCACTGCATATTGGAGACACATGTCGGCAGAGAGGGTTTTCAATTGAATGCCTACTGCTGCCACAGCTAAAGGGTGATGCCTTAAATCGAGAATTTCGAGCACTTTTCTTCCCAATGGCAGCCGCTAGCAAAACTGAGACGACGACGTTTGCAGCAATACTTTTCACATTAGCTGTCAGCCTTAAGTTTGAGGAAAGTGAGCGTTTTACGATCAAATGAGCCATCAGGCCTACGTATGCTACAATCTCGAATTTGAATTATGATGCTACTTCCACCAAACCTAAGCTTACCTAGTACCCTAATCAAATTTCATCTCTACCTATGTGAATTATTGTAAGCTTGCAACTATATTTTTTTTTCAAATTTAATCGGCCCCACGCCCCACACAAAATAAATGTTTCCCTATAGATTTTATGTCACTTAGTCCGAATCAAAAGTGAAATCAATTTACATCGGTTTTTCTAACCCGGAAAAAACTAAAATAAAACCAAAAATATAATCTCTGACGCTGGAGAAAAAAAAATATAATAATTTTAAATTAATTTTTCAAATTCGGATTCCACGACACAAAGTCTCTAGAAATTTAGTGATCTTCGTGATTCGACGTAATTTATTAATGCTATCGATTTTGTATGGCCCCCCCACTCATTGCGTTTTTTTGGGTTTTTAGTGGTCATATAAAAAATAGTTAATATTAGAAAATAGTTAAGTTAACAACGGGGTATTATTATTGAAAGCTTCCTGAAGAGAAACAAAGTTTTTTTTATTTTATTTAGAAAAATCGTAGCGGGTGAGAGCTTAACATTTAAATTTTTTTTTTACCACCCTAGTACAAATTCATCTTAAATTATATCAACTTGTAACAAGTAGCGACGATTTGCGATCACTTTTGGCACTTGTGTTACTCCCTATGGGCTATTGAGCTTCCAAAAATATTAAAGAATAAAAAAAATAAAAAAAGTTAAACAATTAAAAAAAAACTCATAAAAAATACTCTACCCTCATTGGTTCATGTTCAGGTCATAAAAGGATAAATAACTTATGAAATTTTTTTTTTTTTAAATGTTGCCTTCCTATTGCCCTCTCTTTAGTATTTGGGCGAACAGG